ACCGTGACAGATTGTAAAGCATTTACGCAGACTATGAAGAAAAGACATTTGTGCGCAGATAGCTCGATGGACATTCTTTCTCGAAGATTTCCGGTTACTCAATTGTACATCGTTCGGGAACTAACATGCGGCATGTCGACGCATTAAGTCGACACTCGTTACCAGCAGCCATGGTAATTGAAGAATGCGAAGGAAGTATTCAGGCAAAACTCAAGCGGAATCAGTCGATAGACGAAGAACTGAAGGAGATTAAGGAACGGATAACGCAGAAACAAACAAGGGAGTATGTAATTGTTAACGGGTTAGTATGCAAGGAGATTGATGGCGAAACCCCGGTTGTTGTACCAAAGCTGATGCAAAACTCTATAATACGAAAAGTATGTCCATGAACGTGGTCACTTCGCGAGTGCAAAGACAATACAACTCTTGAAGCCCGATTATTGGTTCAAGAGCATGGGTTCGAAAGTAGACCAAGTAATCCAAAACTGTCTCACGTGTATTTTAGCGACGCGGAAGATAGGAAAGCAGGAGGGATTGCTACACCCGATCGATAAAGAAGCTCCACTAGACACTTATCACGTGGATCATCTGGGTCCAATGCCGACAACTCAGAAGAAGTATCAACACATATTCGCAGTCGTTGATGCTTTCACGAAGTTTACGTGGCTCTACCCAACAAAGAGTACTGGTGTTGCAGAAGTCCTTAACCATCTGATGAAGCAGTCAGCCGTTTTTGGAAATCCTAGGCGTATAATCTCAGATCGAGGCTCAGCGTTCACCTCCCACGATTTTAAAACCTATTGTGTAGACGAAGGTATCGAGCACCTTCTGATTGCTACATGGACGCCGAGAGGAAACGGACAGGTCGAACGTGTAAACTGCACTTTGCCTTATTGACCAAGTTATCGATGGCGTATCCAACTCAGTGGCATAAATATGTCACGCGAGCACAGCAATACCTGAATCATATACCTACGAGAAGCACGGGAATGACGCCGTTTTCCCTTTTATTCGGAACCAGGATGAGGTTACAAGAAGATCCTCAAATCAAGGAAATCTTAGAGGCGGAAAAGCTACATATTTCCAGGAAGAACGTGACAAACTACGTGAGGAAGCTCACCGGGCAATTCAGAAGATTCAGACCGAAAATCAGCGCAACTATAATAAAAAGCAAAAAACGAAGACCGCCGAGCAAGTACAACGAAGATGACATAGTTGCTATTCAACGGACGCAGAACAGGCCAGGGCTCAAATTCTGCGCTAAATATCTGGGGCCCTACCGAATCAAACGCGTTCTACGCAACGACCGCTATATCGTCGAGAAGTTAGGTGAAGGAGAAGGTCCACGTGTAACATCGACTGCCGTCGATCACGTGAAGCCATGGGGTGACTTTCAAGAAGAACCACCCGGTACCAAAGACTTGGAAGTGCAATCTGATATCTGAAGTCAGATATATAACGAATGGCCGAGTGTAGGATTAAGTGTAATCGTTTAATTATATTTTAAGTTTTGTGACATTCCCGCCATCGAGTATTGTCCAGCGTGCGCTATAAAGTAATGGTAGATCGGTGTAATCATCGTTCGCGATGAAGAGAGACGGATCGAGGCGGCGCATCTCGCGCATTGCGAGGGAACAAAGACACTTCGGTCTTGGACAGCGGAGAGTAAAGGTTTTCGGACGATCTCTGTGAACTCTGTGAACCGACTATTTTCTGTAATAAAGTCCATATATATGTATACCATCCTTCAATAGTAAATGAGAATGGATTAGATAAAATAAACAATTTTAGGATTGAAGAAAGGGTGGACTCGGATCACATGCCCCTGTCGATAGGGATAGGAGACAGAGGAAGGAAGAAAGAAAAGGAAGAAGAAAGCACGGAAGAAGAAAGAAAAAAGATCTATTGGAATATAGAAGCAATAGAAAAGTATAGGGAAAAGACGGATAGCTGCACATGGGAGGAAGGAGCAGAGGGAAAAACAATAGAAGAGAAATGGACAAAAATCAAAATGTTAATAAAAGAAGCAATGGTTATAAAAGAAGAAAGGAAGAAGAAGAAAAGAGGGATAGGACACAAGGACTGGTGGGATAGAAGCTGCACGAGGAAAAAGAAGATGGTAAGAAGACTTTATAGAAGCTGGAAGAGAGGAAGAATAAGTAGGAATTATTATATTGAAGAAAGGAGAAAGTTAAAGATCCACCTGGACGAGAAAAAGAAGAGTTGGACAAGGAAGGAAGAAGAGGAACTAAAAAGTTTAAAGAATAACACGGAGGTATGGAAGTTTATAAATAAAAAGAGAGGGAAAAGGATACGTATAGAAAACAACATAAGCAAGCAGGAGTGGGAAAATCACTTCCTGGAATTATTGGAAGGAGTGAGATTGGAGGAAGGAATGGTGACAGAAGAAAAGGAGGAGAATATAAGGAAAGGGACGGAAGGAGAGGAAGAGGAAGGAGAAGAAATTGAAGAAGAGGAAATTGTACAAGCAATTAAACGAATGAAAAAGAGGAAGGCTGCAGAGGTTGACGGTATACCCATGGAGGCTTGGATATATGGAGGAATCACGATAAGGAAAGGCCTAGTAGATATAATAAAACAGGCGTGGAGAGAAGGAGTGATTCCTAAAGACTGGGAAACTAGTGTAACAATCCCGATCTTCAAAAAAGGTGACCAGGAGAGGGCCGAAAACTACAGGGGCATATCCCTGTTGTGTACGGCTTACAAGGTGTATGCGGAGGTGCTAAGAAGAAGGTTGGAGAAGGAAGTGGAAAGAGGGGAGATATTACCGGAGAGCCAGGCGGGATTCCGAAGAGGGAGAGGAACGGCGGATAATATATTCGTCCTTTCTCACCTAATACAAAGAGAAAGGAAAAAAGAGGATAGGAAGATATATGCAATATTTGTGTATTTAAAGCACAGACTTCTATATAATACTAGACTGCTAACTGCTTATGTACAAGGCGGCTGACTTTCTATGTACTAAGCGATTATATGTAAGGTCATTCATTCTGCGCATGCGCTTTGACGCAATATAGGTTACGTTCATCTTAGGGCCAGTTTCACAAACGTCGGTTAACTGCTAACGGGAGGTTAATCGGTTCTCCGCCACTTCTTAGATAACAATATAGAAAGAGCTATGGAGTGGACTAAACTCTGGTTAACAGTTAACCGACGTTTGCGAAATTGTACCCTTATAAATGATAAAATATCGTAATACTATATATAATAATAAAAATGTCGTAATACTATATATTCTCGAAGTGTCGCAGTGTAAATACTTTCACTCGATATACTTACCTAAAATAGGCAACTTTATCTTTATTTATAGTGCTGTCACACATATAAATGGCACATTTGAGTGGCATAATGATTTTTTAATATCAGAATACGATTCAACGTGACGTCTGAAGGATGAGGTTATCTCACGTATATTCTGTGGTTATATACCTATATCGCGTATGGTAGAAATATCACTATACGCACATGCGCAAAATGAGATACCTTTGTACATGCTTTCCGCAGTCATTTTATATAAGCGAAATTTAGGGAGTTATCAGTCTAGTATTATATAGAAGTCTGTGATTTAAAGACGGCATTTGATAAGGTGGACAGAGAAAAATTATGGGAAGTGATGGAAGACAAAGGAATAAATAAGAACTTGATTGGAAGAATAAGAAGAATTTATAAAGTAACAAGAAATGTGGTAAGGACCGAAGAGGATTACGGAGGAATTTCTAACGAGGAAAGGAGTAAGGCAGGGGTGTGTGCTGAGTCCACTACTGTTCAATATATATATAGCAGATTTAGACAGGAAAATGAGGGAAAGAAATATAGGAGGTCTGAAGTTAGGAAAAGAGGGTTTGGTCTCTGGCGTTTGCAGATGACATGGTGATATTAGCAAAGAATAGGGTAGCAGCGGTAGATATGATGAAGACACTAGAGAGATTTTTGAGGGAGCGTAGATTAGCTTTGAATACTGAAAAAACAAAGATAATGGTGTTTAGTAAAGGGGGGAAAGAGAAAAAAGTAAAATGGAACTGGTTAGGGAAAGAATTAGAAGAGGTGCAGGTTTTCAGTTATCTTGGCTTTACGTTTAATAGAAAAGGAGACTATAAGGATCACTTAAAGGTTCTAGAGGCGAAAGGGAGAAGGGCAGCAAATAGAGTATGGGGGTTAGGTGAAAGGATATGTAAGGACGATTTCGAAAGAAGAGGGATGTTATTTAACTATTTGGTGAGGAGTGTTATGTCGTACGGTGTAGAACTTTGAGGATGGGCGGAGAGGAAAACTCTAGAAAAAATAATATTGGACTATGTAAGATGGGTATTTAAGCTTGATTTTTGTACGCCAAGGTATCTGATAACGAGAGAACTAGAATTGGATAAATTAAAAATTAAATGGGGGATCAATGCGAGGAGATATGAGGAAAAAATAAAAGAGATGGGGGATAATAGATGGGTAAAAGTTTGTTGGAAAGAAAAACAAGAGGAAGGATGGACTGATTTGTATGGTAGGGAGAGGGAGGCTTATTATAATAGAAATGGATGGGGTACTATTGCAGTAGATAGCAT